CGCGCTCGATCGTCAGCAACAGTTTAATGCGGTCAGGACATGGATGGGTGACCAGTGGTATACCGCTTGGGATCGAAATTATCGCAGGAGGATTCATGAAAGTTTGGAATGTGTTGACAACCTTCGATATCTAGTAGTTTATGAGACATGAGAAAATTAGGAATATAAGTATATTTTTGTAAACTTTATGATTTTCTCATTTTTTACCTTTGCATAATAATTCTCAGTATTTGATTACTATAAATATTTAACAGTGATTTTATTATCAGTATTTACCAGAAATTAAGTACTGGCCAAAAAATTACTGAATTACTGGTAATATTTAATCACTAATAATTTTTCAGTATTTCTTAGTATGATATTTCTATAAGGGAAGCCATCTGTTTTACGTCCTTCGGACATTCAATGGACGTTTGTGAGATTGATCCGTTTATGAAATTGAAGGATATGCTAAAGTCCCCGACATGTCCACAGGATATTCGATGGACGTTCAATGGATATATAAAAGTAGCATTCGGATTTGTAATTTATAAGATAATTTTGTAATTTGTATATTAAAAGGAATTTAAAGGATGAAACATATATACCCAAGCAGCAAAACAAAATATTTATAAAATATTTACAAAATATTTATAAGATTTATTTTAATATTTTATAAATATTTATCAAAATATTTCATAAGTATTTTTATGACATTAGCTTTAATAGATCATAAATATTATAAAAATATTTATTAAAATATACAATTATATATTTTTTCTGTTTTTTTAAACTTTTCTTAAATTTTTAAAATATATATGTTTTTAGTTTTTACTTTATATTGTTTCACACGCTACTTAATTTAAGTTAAATTGTACCTTGAAAATTTGCTTACCATTGCCGAGATTCGAACCTGAGAACCTCTGGTTCTTGAGTCGTTTACCTTACCTACTGCACCACTATTACTTTGAGTGAGAGATGCTTTGTATTGTATATATATATTGTATCCATATACGAAAACAAATTATTTATTTAAAAGAAGAGAATATAATATAATATAAGAAATCAGAATGTTTTCTGATAATAAAAGAAACTTTAATTTGAAACCCAAAAGATATTTTTAATATTAAAAAATAATTTATTTAGATTTATAAAATGATTTATTTGTACTTTATTTTCTTTAAAACAAGCAAACATTTATTTAAACACAATTTTATATTTAAAAAGTTTTCTTCTTGTAAAGAGATTATTTTTTTCTAGAAATTCACAATTTTACAGTTTATTTTACAAATTTAAAAAAATATTACTTTATGTTTATTATATGTTTTTTAAAGTGTAACAAATATTTTTTTAAGTTAAGAAATTATATTTAACAAAATATATTTCTTTAATTTAAAGATTTTTTTTTAGTATACATTACCAATTTAAATTTTGATATTCTTATTTCTTCATTAATTTAATAATTATAAATAATTATATTAATTTTTTTCATATAAATACATAATATATTTTTTTCATAATATTTATAGAAATATTTACAAAATATTACTACAAATATTTATTTTTTGTTTACTATAAATATTGGATAAAATATTTAGCCTATATTTTAATAATATTTTGAATAAAGATTTTGATACTTTTTCTTTATGTGTATATAAATATTTATAAAACATTTATATAATATTAAAAAAAAAATAATTCAAAATAAATATTTATGAAATTTTATCATAAATATTGTGTGCTGTTTGAATAAACCGTTAAAACATATATAAAACCGTTCTCTAACATATTCTGAACTTTGTTTCATCTTGGACATATAGGGTGTCCGAAAACTCTGGACACGGCCAATTTTCTCGGAAATTATAGGAGTTAGAAGAAAATGTTAAATACAAAAGTTGTAGGGTTTCAACCAATCTATCAACTGGTCACCCTTGTTTGACCTTGACGAGTCACGTGGAGGTCAAGATGATTTTTTAAAATGGGACACCCGGTAAGGTCATGTGAAAGCTGGTCCCGAGCCCTTTCCAAAACCCTAGACATGAGCCCTTCCAACCCCCTGGCGGTGACCTTGAGGCGAGTATTAGTGTTTGCATGGCAAAAGTTCGGACACGGCCGATTATTTCGCAAACGGTGGATATGATGGAAAAATGTTTCGGATAAAAGTTGTAAGACTCCATAAGACCTACCGAATGAGCTACGCTGATTGATGGGTACCGTGGAGGTCACGTGGAGGTCAAGATGATTTTTTTAAATGGGACACCCAGTATTCGGTAAGGTCATGTGAACGCTGGCCCCGAGCCCTTTCCAAAGCCATCAGCTCGGCCACTTCACCTCCGAAGGAATCTAATTGGAAGGAAGATTGTGAAGAGTGAGGACGGGTGGAAGTGCCCTTGCCGGAATGGTCAGAGAAGAGAGTGAGCGCAATTGGAAGCGTACACAAAACAAACCGCCCTGTTTAGGGCGACCAATTATTCAGTTGTGGGATAACGCTCCAGTTAGGAAAAGTTTGTTAGAAAAACTACAGTCTTCCATCATCTTGGTTGGGAGATCGGCGAACAGTCGCCGTTGCGACCGAGGTGAAGTGGTCGAGCTGAGGGCCTTGGAAAGAGCTCGGGGCCAGTGTTCACATGACCTTACCGAATACTGGGTGTCCCATTTAAAAAAATCATCTTGACCTCCACGTGACCTCCACGGTACCCGTCAAGGTCAATCAGCGTAGCCCATTCGGTAGGTCTTATGGAGTATTACAACTTTTATCCGAAACATTTTTCCATCATCCACCGTTTGCGAAATAATCGGCCGTGTCCGAACTTTTGCCATGCAAACACTAATACTCGCCTCAAGGTCACCGCTAGAAGGTTGGAAGGGCTCATGCCCAGAGGTTTGGAAAGGGCTCGGGACCAGCTTTCACATGACCTTACCAAATACCGGGTATCCCATTTAAAAAAAATCATCTTGACCTCCACG